TACACCAGACCCTCGGCAGCCGGCGGAATGCAAAGGAAAAGTAAATGAACTGTAAAGAAATAACACAGACCTTTCCGCATTCTGCCGCCTAAAACCGCCTCTCGATCCCCGAGCGTTCTCTCGGGGTCACCGCCGGGCCCGGTAAAAGCCGGGAAAGAAGGCGGGATAAGAGCGTGGTGGGCAGCGAGCCGGATGGGTAGCGACGGGGGAAGGGGAGACGAGAGCGCCCCCCCCCCCGGCAAGCGCCCCCCCCCCCCCAGCCGCGCCGTCCTGGCCCCCCCGCGGGAGGTCCGCTGAGCCAGCCGGTCCCCCGAGGGGCGGTCCCTGCGCGGCCAAGGTCAGGGCGCGGGGCCCCTGCTCGAGACCTGCCAGAGCAAGTGCCTCTAGGGGGCCGACTCCGCTCCCCTGCCCTCAGCGGCACCTCATGCTCCTGCCCCCGCCTCCCCCCGCCCCGACCCCCACCCCCGCAGCAGAGGCAGCCCGGGGGCCCGATCCCTCCCACGTGATTCAGGAGGGCCTTTTTCAAAGAAAACGGAAGCCACCTTTGGGAAGACGTCAATGGCAAACGGATAATCATTTTGTTTTTATGACGGGACCGGCAGGCACAGAAATCTCAAATTTTTCATGTGGGCTCAAGAGCTCTTCAAAGTAGAGAGGAAACCAATCTCTGAAGTTTTCTCTTATATATCCTATGGAATGCGTATTAAAATCCTGAATGCTAAAACTCCATTGGAATTTAGTTACAGGTGAATTTGACCAATTGGACACACTGTGAAGAACCTAAAGTAGGGGCGTCTGGGAGGCTCTGTAGGTGACTTGGGACTCCTGATTTTGACTCAGGTCATGATCTCACCGTTCACGAGTTGGTGAGGGTGTTGAGCCTGCTTGGGATTCTCTCTGTCCCTGTCTCTCTGCCCCTCCCCTGCTTCTGCTCGTGCTGTAAATACATAAACAAACAAACAAACAAAAAAAAAGATAAGAGTAAAATCACCACATAATAGTGTTAAAAGCCCACCATCTTTTGGCTGTTGGTCCTGTGTTTGAAATCAATTATTTTTTACCTCTTTTCTTCTTGGTTTTGTTATCTGTACATTATTGTCTTACAGATAGTGTGGTCTCCTTTTGGAGCCAATTTGACCCCACTCTCCTTTTGGCAAAACTTTTATTTGCATTTCCCTTGTGCACCCAACAAGTCTGTGTATTAACAACATGCTTCATTTTTGGCACAACAGCCTCATTAATTATGTCAGCAGAGAGCTGGCATCAGGACTCTTGGTAATTCCTGTCTCCTCTCTGCTGGCATTGTTGCTTCTGAACTACCAACCTACCATCAGCGGGCTTCATTCTCCCTTTGAGGTCCCACCCCACTCCCCACTCCTTTGCTCCAGCCCACCCAACTCCCAGTTCTACAAAGAACGGAACATGAGGGCTAGGAGAATGAACTCTACTCGTTTTAGTATTCTTTGGCTTAAAAGAGATTTTCTGGGCCTATATCTCAGGTCCTTCTGGACTCATTGACAAGTTTTTGATGATGATGATGATTTTAACAGTGGTTACCATTTATTAAGTGCTTTCCATGTATCCAGTGCTTTAAAGAAAAAAAAAAAAAGGTAGATTATGTCATTTAATTCCTAAAACAAACGCTAGAGGCAGCTATCAGTAACACCATTTAACAGAGGAGAAAACTGAGGCTCAGTGAGTTAAGGTCACAGGGCCAGGACCGGCAGGGCCAGGGTTGGACTTTGACATATCTGCTTTTGCTGTGCCGTGAAGCCGTCCCCTCTCTCACAACACACAACCACGTTGGCAAAAGGCTAGGGGCTCAAAGGTGTGAAATTTGGAAAATCACTTCAAAAGTTAAATGGCAGGTAATGGGGCCTAAAAAAGGGGTCAGGAAAGCCGTCTCTGAGAGTGTTGACGTGGCTAATGCAGCCCAGGACATGCCATTGTCAAAAACACAAAACACAAAACCCTGGTTATGTTTTATTTTTAGTTTCTGAAGTTCCCACAGAAGTCTGAGATGGTGGCCAGTAATTTCTCCTTGAAGCCTAACGCACCTTACCCAGTGACTAGGTAAGGAGGGCAGGGGTGGTTGTTTTCACAAATGTTACTCCTAATTGTAGTATTATACCATCATTCAGGCCATCATGTCCCCCTTCCAACTGTATCCGGCATCTTGGTGGATGTCCCAGGTAAAGCTCATCAAGGAATTGCTAGTTCGTTCCCGGAGAGGAACTGCAGTGGCCACCTTATTAAAACTCTGCGGTCGTGAGGAGTTCCTTGAATATGAGGGCTCAGCCATTACTCAAAAACATTTATAAAGGATCGACTTCATACTAGGCACTAAGCCGAGGCACTGCAGACAAATACATGTGGCCTCCATTCTAATTTTACTTGAAATTTTACTTAAATAAATCAGAACCGCTGACCAATGGGGTGGGTGGTAAGGTTGAGGGACAGTTCATATCGTGTTAGAAAAAGACGACGGCAGGAAGGAATCCAATGCATTCCCAAGAGAGAAGACCCTAATGATTGGCTTTGTCATCAGTTACCAAAGACAAAGAGGCCGTCTCAAGAATAGATAGGACGGATGCCTTGTCCCTACCACAGGGTGAGGCAAAGGGCTTATCATAAACTACATTATTTTTTAAAGTTACCAAAACTTGATATGCTTGGTATGAAAAATTCAGACTCTGTAGAAATATAATAACTTGGCGTTGACCTCTGCCCTACAATCTCTCTCTCTAGAGATAACTGTTGTGAAGAGTTTAGTGTTGAATCAAAGGACCTAGTGCTTCTTTCTTGAACATGACACACAAAAAAAAAAATTCCAAAGAACATGGCCCAAAGGAAAACAGACCACAAAATTTAAGGAGTCTCAGCTTGCTGGGTTATGAGATCCTTCTTTGGGGCGGCCCACTTACGCCTTGGCCTTGACTTCTGCTATCTGCGTTGGAAGAAAAGCCTAAGACAGGTAATATTTGCTTGTCACATGGAATCTAGGACTCAGTGGCGGTCGCCAGGCAAGTGACCGTTCCATCCTCTGGATAAGGCGTTAACAGGCTCTACTTAGGCGCCACACGTGTCCGTCCGGTTGCTGTCACAGTTAAGCCTCAGCCACCACTAACGTCTTTAGGTTAAATGAACTTACCACATCATTAGTATGCAGAGCCTTGGGGAACAGAACAGGCATGTGTTACGGAGGAGAAATGGGTTGGTGAATCAGTGCCTGGGCGGGGACATTGCAATAGGGGCTCTGGGCAGCTGATGCTCCGGAGGGAATTTGAAAGGGAAAGAAGGGGCCATGGCCCGAAGGGTGGGCTACGTTCAGGGCATATACTTTACACACTTCGTGATTTTTGTCTTGGGCAGACAGTAATCGTTATAGTATAAAGTTAGACTTGGGCTGATTTTGATTAATTTCTATCAGCACAGACTTGTCCAAGGGCTCTCCCTCTTTACGTCCTGCTCCAGAACCTTGGCCTTGGAGGAATTTAAACAGGCCTTGAAGGCTGAGTAAGGAGTAGCCACACTGCCGTCAGGTCCCCTAACATCCATGGTCCCGCGCATGGCCCATCTTAGAAGACTGCTTGGCCCGGCCTCCCTCGTCCAGTGTGGCCATGTGACCAGATTCTGCTCCGGGGTGATGAGTGGGAGTGGTGTGGGCAGTTTCTCCGTAGTGCCTTCTGTTCTAGGCCGGCTTCCCCGGAAGTAGATGCTGACAGCAAGAGTGCAGCACAAGCTGTTTACTTGAGAAGGTGAGTCTAGGAAGCATAAGGAGGGGAGTAGGGGAAGTGTGTGGGTCTGGATTTTCTCAGTAGGTGCCAAGTGCAAGTACACGTACGAGGATTTTGTTAAGGGAAACACGTGTGGGAGGGACAGCGGGGTGGGAGCCAGATGAGGCCAGAGGGCTGGCGGACCAGCCGGCAAACGTGAGTCTGGCCCGAAGTGAAGGAGAGGAGGAAGGCCTTGCGCTGCCTGCCAGGCTGAGGAGAGGTAGCACAGCCGGCATCAGGGGGCCCCGGTTCCCCTGGGAACGACCTGCGTTGGGGTCCTTGTGACGGTCAGCGACTGGAGCAGTCCGCGGGAAGAAGGCCTCGCGCGGGCACAGCCGGGGGCCTCGTGGCACGGCGGCCAGCCTTGGTGACTGTACCCTTGGGGTCGGAGGCCAGGCCTTGGCGCGTCCTCCCGCCACTGCGGGAAGTGAGGCGGGGAGGGAAGGGACGTTAAGAGCGTACCGTCGAGCATCCGTCCGGGGCCGCCGAGGCACCACCTGCTGGCATCCTCTGGGGACCGGGTCAGTCCCCACCCGAGGGGCGTGCAGCTGAGGGGCAACACGCCCCCACCTGTCGAAACCGCTGACGGGTTTGTCTTCGCTACAGGAGCCGCGCGAGAGACACCTTGAGAAAGTGGTTTTGAGGAAGCGCTTCCACTCGCTCCTGCGTGGAATCTTTCCAGCAGAGTTGCTGACAAACTGAACGTACGACCGACTGGGGTCATGCATCCTCTTTCTTCGTGCTCCTCACGTGCTCCGCCCCCCTCATTTCTGCTGGAGAATTGGAAAAGCGTGAAATGCCCCCCCAGAGTGAAGAACACAGCACAGGGGACTCTGGGTAATCCACCCCTGCCCGCTGTAAGGACACGCTACCCAGTCCCGGATCATAGCCTCTTCTCTTCTTTACAACTCCGCGAGGAGACCTACGGTCGGGAGGAAAACGACAAAAACAAAAAAACAAACTAGGAAGAAATACACCATAGCAATTACTGGCTGGAGGGTGGTGGAATTACGGATATTTTTCTTTTATTCCATAATTAAATGCGGTTCTAACCCTTTTACTTCGATGTTTGTAGTAAGACTATTTTTCTACTTTTCTGTGTGCTTAAGTACTTCCATAATAAAAATTATATTTTAATTTCAAAGCAGTTGTTCCTCTTAGCCTTCCCATTTTTGCTCCCTTAATATCCACTGCTTGCTTCCTGGTCTTGCTTTCACTGCCCCATCCTCCCTGCCATCAAGAACCGAAAGATACCATTGGTTCCAAATCCTTGGTGGTTCATTAGGGACACAGGTGATCTTGGGTAGATGGCAAGCTTCGGTCGTTCCCGGCTGGGCAGTTCCCTGAATCTAAGGGGTGATGATGGTGGGGGCTCACCTGAGGGGAAGCTGGCGGGTGAAATTTTGTCTGAGCTTCTATTCGGTCCTCTGAAGAAATGTCATTTTCTCCAGCAAAACCAACTAGCTAGTCATCCAATCTGTGTCCTCTTCTCCCCGGGAACGACAGCGGGACCATATTTCCCAGATCCCCTTGCAGTTCATAAGTATCCATGTGACGGCAGCCCGTGGAACAGGAATGGAAATGACGGCACCATTTCCAGAACTCAAGGTGTTAGGAGCTTGGGTCCCTAATCGCTACTTGGAGGGGAGCTGCCCGCACAGCAGGAACACCTATTCTGGACTTCACTTGGCAGAGGCAATTTTATTAAGCCATAGAAATATGGCAAGTTTATTAAGCCATAGAAATATGTGTTTGTTACAGCAGTGAGCCTACCACAACTAATACACTGTTAATGTCTCATATCTGCCAAGTTGGCTCTCGATCCACAGAGTCCAAGGTGAGTTTGACTGCAGAGAGCAGTGGAGCTCCGCTTTTTTAAAGACTTGCAACCTGGACTCGTTTGCAATCATAATACAATGGAGAGGCAGTGCCCTTGTTGTTCCCAATCTCATAACGTCCTCTAGATTGCAGTAACTGTCTCCAGTTGGAGCAGCTTTAGACAAGGAATCCTGGTCATGTGTCCCTAATTGACGACAGTGTGATGCATGAATCGCTCAACCCCTGCGAGCCTCGGAAGATATCCAGTTCATTTGAGAGACAGCCAATCACAACAATACTAATAGCTAACTGTGTGCTGAGTGAGAGAGGCTGAGCACTTTGAATAGATTAACTCATTCAATCTACATAGGGGCCAGGGATGCGCATTATAGCCTCACCATTTTGGGAACAGGGAGACACCGAGGCACAGAAAGATTAGAACATCGCCCAACGCCACAGCTAATAAATCAGTTTCAAACACAGGCAACCTAATTCCAGTGCCAGAAACGACATTCTCAGGATTCCAAAATGCTGGTTTTGTACCAGGATGAAATCTTCCTGGGATTGCAGTGCTCCTGATGCTGGCCTTGTGATCGGCCTGTACTTGGTCATTCCACCCACCCTACTCTTGACATCCAGACTCCTCCTTTTGATGGCTCCTGCTCTGGAAATGTACAGCCTTGCAAGGGATGACACGATCCCCCTCTTCCTTGATCTACTTAATCTGATTAGACACAAATTGTAATATGCCTTGATTCAGGGAACTTCCCTTTGCCAAATTAAGTCCCCTGAGATCTCTCACACACAGACCTTGATTTATGAACACCAGACTCTTTCAGTCCTCTGTGATTTTCTTTATTGAAACCATGCAATGCCTGCTCTCCAGCAAAAGAGAGCTGGTGATAAAATCTTGGTTTCCTATGAATTCAGAGAATTCAGGGAACATCAGAGATTATGTGTTTCAAACACAGAGTAAAACACTTTGACTCCACTCACCGGGATGACAATTAGAATATGACAACCAGACAAGCCCTGGGCTTTAATAGGACACTTGGTTTAGTACCAAAAATACTAATAAAATGATCTGTTACGATTATTTTCCGTAATCCAACATTTCTCTCACAAAATGCCTCATCTACTCTGAATTTCTCCAAGTGCCGTACACGGTGCATGAGGATAAAAATATTTGCCAGTTATTAAGCATCCATTGTGTTCCCAGCACCATGCCAAGCGGACATCATCTACTTACTGTATCATCCCCATTTTCGAGATAAGGAAACTGACATTCACACAGGTTACCTTACCTGTCCAAGGTGTGGTGGGCAGAATAATGCCCCCTGCAAAGATGTCCATGTCCTAACCCCCAGAGCCTGTGATGGTTACCCTGCAAGGCAAAAGGCACATGGGAGGCATGATTAAGTTAAGGACCTTGAGATGGGAAGATTATCTTGGATTATTGCAAGAGTCCTTATGAGGAAAAGAGTTAGGCAGAAGAGTCAGAAAAGGAAGTGCAACAAGGAAGCAGAGGTCAGGAAGATGTGGGGTCATGAGTCCAGGAGTATATAGACAGCCTCTAGAAGCTAGAAAGGAGGGGCACCTGGGTGGCTCAGTCGGTTGAGCTTCTGACTTCGGCTCAGGTCATGATCTTGGTTTGTGTGTTCAAGCCCTGTGTCGGGCTCTGTGTTGACAGCTCAGAACCTGGAGCCTGCTTTGGATTCTGTGTCTCCCCCTCTCTCTGTCCCTTCCCCATTCACACTCTATCTCTCTCAAAAATAAGTAAACGTTAAAAAAAAAAAAAAATAGAAGAAGAAGAAGCTAGAAAGGAAAGAAAATGGATTCTTCCCTAGAGCCTCCAGGAAGAACAAAACCCTGTCAACTGACTTTAGACATATGACCTCCAGAACTATTTGTGTTGCTTTATTCTACTAAGTTTGTAGTGATTTGTTACGGCAGCAATAGGAAACTGCTAAGCAATGTCACGTGGATGTTGAGTGGTAAAGGCAGGATTCGAACACTGTTCCCTATGATGGCGGAGACCATGCTCTTTATCTGTAAGTTAAAAGGCCTTGGAACTTAAGTCTATGGTGTTTAAAATCTGGGGTTTATGTTACAGAAAATATTATATTAAGAAACAGAATATGCAACCCTGAAGATTTTTTAAACATAAAATAAGAGGGTCGAAAAATACAATAGACCTAAAGAACAAACAGAGGGCATAGAACTCGGGTCATTTTTATATGGTAAACTGGTTCAATGATGAAGGTAGTGTCACAAAGCCGTGGGATCAGGATGGATTGTTTCGGTGTGACAAGAAACAGGAGTTAAAAAAGGAGGAGTGTAATAAAGGAAGGCTACAGCCTGTCCTCATACCCTGACAGGGAAGACTCCAGATTGATTAAAGTTTTAAATGTAAAAGGGAAGATGGTAAAGCTAATAGAGGAACATGTATGAGAAAGAGCTTCAGAGCCAAAGATGAGCAACCAGAAGGCCAATAAAGAACAATGGATCTAATTATATTAGGTAAAATGATTTCTGTTTGGTAAACAGATATGAACAGGTATCGGCCTGGAAAAATATAGTCACCATGATCTAAAAAGGTAAAGAGTTTTTATACTTTACAAAGAGCTCCTGCAAATTAGTAAGAAAAGCACAAGAAACCATAGAGAGTGCGGAAAGGATATGTGTGGCCAATTCACAGGCGAGATCCTCCAACTCGTATTAATGGAGTCAGGTGAATGCAACTAGAACAGTGGACACAACATACTACATCCATCAGAACAGAGGATAAATAGAAAGGCAATTAACAATGAGGGCCGATGGTGTTGTGAGGAGATGGGAAATTCTGTTCACTGCCGGTGTTAGGGTGTACTGAGATGGTCATTCAGGGAACCTATCTGGCTTATGCCCTAGGACCGATGGCTCCTCTCCTAGATAATATCCTAAGGACCTGCTCAGATAGGACTGCCGGGGGCATTTATAAGGATACTCACACCTGTGTTATCCGGTAGGAAAGAGTTGGAGGCAACCCAGGGGCGGGTCCTTGGACACACTGGATCACGTGACGTTATCCACAGGGCACACTCTTAAAACACAGTGTTGAGTGAAGAAAAGAAAGAAACCGCAAGTTTCAGTACCATATATACAAATTAAAACACAACAACACTATATTCTACAAAGAAGCATAACTTATCCAAGGGCTGTCATCCAACACGTTGAAGTGGATGCCTAGGGGAAGAAGGGAATAGAAGGAGAGATCAGTGATAAAAAGGAAGATAAATCAATAGGACAGGAGCAATGATTCCTTCAGAGCAATGATGCTCATATGTTGTAACTTCAGTTCTTTCTACACCTAAAATAATAAAAATAATAGTTCCAAGCAGGGGAGGGGTTCTCACTAAGCCATGCCATACTACAGAAGCAGGTCCCCCGGGGAAGTCACTTTTCCCTGTCATGTTGGTTAGAAAATGTGAAGTGTTGACAGGTACCTAATGTCACCTGATTCTGTAAAACACTCTGAGACTTAAGAAGCACAGAAACAGAATAACCTGCATCTTAAAGAGGCCTCTTAAAGTAAATCCACTTAAAATGGGAACCAAATGTCATTTCAAGTAGTGAAAAAAAAATCAGAACAGCATCTTTTTAAGCTTCCAAAGTGAAACAAAACATTTCAGAGATGTTTTGTCTCCTGCCTTACACAACTGTACTATTAATGCAGTGCTGGTCTGCTGTATCGCCCGGAGCTGGCGGCCATGTGACAACTCTTTGTTAGATGAGCAAACGACAAATGATGACCGGCTCTTAGGACACAGGTGGAATCGAGTGTTACTTTTTTCTCCAGAGCTTGCCATCATTCTCTTCCTCAACTTTTAACTAGTTTAACTCTGCAAGATGTTTTGGTTTTGCTGGGTTTGCATGTGACTTTAGCGATCTGTCACCTCACGTTTATCAACCTTGTGATAGATAGGCACAGCCACTGTGATTGCTCTTCGCAGTTGATCGGCATTATATCTGTAGGGCCGGCGTAGACAGGGGCATTTCCACGGGAACCGATTACACAAGTGATGGTTGAGAAGTGACTTTTTGATCCTGACGTCCACTTCTGCTCACCATGCAACCCTGTTTCTCTGAGAACTCAAATAAAGAATGCTCAACTGGGTGTTGTATGGAAACCAATTTGACAATAAATTTCATATTAAAAAAAAAGAATGCTCAGTTTACAGAGATACTCTTTCCTATCTCCACTTTGCAGGTTCTCGGTGGTTGAATGCCCACCCAAAGTCTCATGGCTGAAAAGTGGCAAACCACAGAAAGCGCCACGGGAGGGAG